GCTCTGAGAACAACAAAAGTTCTCAACAGTCTTCCCCTCAAATGATAAGCCCCAAGTCTGACCTCATTTTCCCCTCCTGAAATCCCATGGACTGTCTCATGGCTGGTTCTTTCACTTTTACCTTGAGCGTCCATTCTTGATGTTTACCCAAGGCAGAGACAGTGACTGTGGACAGGGCACTGGGAAGGTAGGGTGTTATTACCAATCGCAGGTCCCAGAGGGCTCCAGACACGCCTGGATAATACCAAACTGGTGTGAAGATTGGCAGGAGGTGCCTGAAGCTAAGGATACTGCCCTCAGGGATGGGTGGTTAAGCAGAGAGGCAGAGCAGGTAGTTGAACCCACACCTAAATAGGGTTTCACCTCTGTCCACTGTTAATTATGACTGCTGCATCATCCTGCACATCCTTAGGGCTGGGCTAGGAAACCTCCTTTCGGTGACCCGGGAAATTCCAAACTGCTCTGGAGTTCAGACTTCTCATTGTTACAGAACAATCCAGGACCCCAGTAAATTCTTTAATGGATACTCTGTTTCAGTGTACCTGTTCTCCAGGACTTAGGAGAACAGGTACACTGAAACAGAGTGTTGACTGCTCAAAACTCACAACTGAATTACTATTTAAAAATTGTTTTTCTCTTACCTAAGAGAAGGATAATACAAGTGGAAGAAATGATTTACAGCAGAGAGGGTAGAGAGAGAAGAGGGGAGGGGAGGGGAGGGGGGATAGTAGAGAATAGGATAGACAGCTGAATACATCAGACACTAGAATGGCAATATGTAAATCAATGGATGTGTAACTGATGTGATACAGCAATCTGTATACGGGGTAAAAATGGGAGTTCATAACTCAATTGAATCAAACTGTGAAATATGATATATTAAGAACTGTGTAATGTTTTGAACTACCAACAATAAAAAAAACCTGTTTTTATTTTTTCTACTTAGTTATACATGACAGTAGAATGCTTTTTGACACATCATACATAAATGGAGTATAACTTCTCTTTCTTCTGGTTGTACATTATGTAGAATATCACTGGTCGTGTAATCATATACTCTCATAGGGTAATAATGTTCAATTAATTCTACTATCCTTTTCACCCCATACCCCCTTCCCTCCATTCTGTTTAATTCAAAGTACCTCTATTCTTCTCTAGCCCTCCCTCCCTTTATGGTGATTCAGCATTCACATATCACAGAAAATATTCAGCCTTTGAGTCTTTGGGATTGGCTTATTTCGCTTAATGTGGTATTCTCCAGTTCCATCCATTTACCTGCAAATAACATAATTTTTCTTTTTTAAGGCTGAGTAATAGTCTATTGTGTATGTATACCACAGTTTCTTTATCCATTCATCTGTTAAAGGACACCTAAGTTGGTTCCATAGTTTGGCTACTGTGAATGGAACTGCTACAATGATTGATGTGGCTGTGTCACTATGGTATACTATTTTTAAGTTCTTTGGGTATAAACCTAGGAGTCAGACAACTGGGTCGAATGGTGGTTGCAATCAAAGTTTTCAAAGGAATCTCCATACAGCTTTCCATAGTAATTGCACTATTTTTCAGTCTCACCAGCATGGGATTAACCAGTTTTTTATTCAGTGTTTTATTATTCATTTGTTGATAACCTTAGAAATAACAACTTATCTCATTGACATATTATAGTCTAATTCAATATATGTAAGTTAAAGAAATGTTCAAGATTGTGTAAAATTATTTTCCTAAAGTGATATATTTATCCATCTGTAAGATATTTATAGAAGTTAGTAAAAATTAATCATAAAGGAAATGATCACGTATTAACCATTTAAATTTTTTTTAAAGAATGCAGCTTTTACTTGTTAGATAAGGTATGTTTTGTAAGTTTACTATAATTTTTCATCTTAAAGTTCTCTTAGATATATCCTTCATGTTCCTGGGTGATATGTCTTCCTATTGTAAACAGTTTATGTAACTCTCAGTCACCTCCAGGGAGACTATAAGTTGATTACTTTTCTTACTCCACTTGAATATAAATGCAGAAATATCCCTTTTCATCTTGGAAATGTCTGTGTATCTATAGGGACACAAGAGCTCAAGGGAGCCCAAAGACCAATGCTTTGTCTTTCTGGTCACAGGAGAATGGCATTATCCAGATAACATTTTCATAAATGGATCCAGAGGTCAAAGCCATAAGCATAGGATTCAGCAAGAAACCAAGGAGCCACACCTTACCTGAAAAGTATTGGATGGTCAAAAGTGCTGGGTAGAGAAGACTTTCTCTGTTAAGTATTTTTTGGGAACAGTACATTGGATGTTTTCCAAACAATGCATGAGTGACACTTTGAGTTTGTTCTTTGACTTTCTTCATTATTTATTTCAGAGAATGTTATTGTACTCGGTAGAGATCACTGACATTAGAGAAACATGAGCATGTGAGGATGTAGGTCAGCTTAGCTCATGCTCTATCACTGATAGGGAGGAGGATGACAGCACAGAAGGTTTCCTTCTTTGATTATTAGAGGCATAATGCAAGCACCTGAATTTGTGCCAACTGTCAGAAGGGAAAAGGAAGGATGCCTTGTCCTTGACCTTAATGAGTTTTGATCTTTCTAAGAGAGATGGCTAAGTTATGAAACTTGTCAGAGAGACAAAACCATGAAAAAGGAATTTATAGTATTCTCAAAGAATCCATGGGAGGAAGACAGCTTTCAAATCAGAAAGTCAGAATCGTACTGTAAGAACAGAAGGTCATGTGGAGGCAGCTAATTTGATATCTGAAGCTGAGCAGAGCTGTGGCTGAGGTTCTATGTACTGAGACAGCAGGCTTGGATTAAGGTTAACCTAAATGAGAAGTTAGATTATTCCTGAAGTCCTATTCCTGAAAAGCAGTATCAGCTTTACCTAGGAATTAGTTAGAAAGCCATATCATCCTACATCTACAGAAATGGAGTGTGCCCAGAAATCTGTGTTTTTAACAAGTTCTTTGGTAATTCTGATGCATACTCTCCTTTGAGAACCAATAGTCTAGATGAAAAGAAAATTCTGAAGTGATGCCCACACTATATATTGAGAAAAAAATAAGAGCTTCAAACTTTGGGAAATATTTTGCATCTTACACCCTATGTGCCCATAACAACGTACCCTCCAGATCCAACTATAAGCAATGATGTTCTCCCTGGTTCTGAGGAGAACACAGAAGAACTTGAGAACTACTTCACCAGTCAGTTCCTTGCTAGTTAAGAAGATTTATAGAGAAAAAGGCTCCAGTTTGTGAGGCATCGTGTCTAGGGTATGTTTAGATACTCCTTCAGTTTCTCTTTGTCTGATAAACTTAATTTCATTAATTTCCTCCTTTGCCTGAAAACAAAGATTTTTTTTGATACTTACCAAATTCACACTCAAAAAAGCTATGGCACAAGTGTCTTTAGTATTTATTTTTTTCACCTTTAACTTGCTTGGAGCTTTTGTGGAGAGAGGGTACTTCGGATTGAATGTAAGGGAAATAATATGAGACACAAAGACAAGATGCAGAGGCAGGAAATATGGCAGAGTTGCAGAATGGCTAAGCTGCCAGCTTTATTTATATCAATAAGTTACTTTTAGGTCATTGGCATTGGTAGTACATTATTGTTCATTGTATTAGTAGGCAGGTTACAGACTAGTAACATTATGCAGCTTATTTCTCAGTTACATACTAAATTGCAATGTACAATGTTAGGAGCTTTGTGTAGTTCTCAAGAAAG